CAGCGCCGGCTGCGGCGCCTCCGGTCGGCCCCCTCCCTGACTGAGGCTCCGCCGGCCCCGCTGGCCACACGCTGTGCGGTGTGTGCCGCACGTACCGTACCGTACCGCACGTACCGTACCGTACTTCTCGTCGTCTCGTCCTCTGGGCGCCATCCTGTACTCCATTGCGCAAGCGTATAGCTGACCTGGTGGTTTACGGTATACCCAGCCGAGATGGTACAGTGCGGCAACAAGCCACCTCGACCTATCATACTAACGGAGCAGCTTTATGGCCTTGCCTACCATACCGGCGGGCAGCCTCGACAAAGGTGGGTCATGTGGGCAGATGGAGTCAACATTCCGTTAACAACTCCTGAATGCAAGTTCCACGATAACGAGCACCGAAATTAGACAGATATTCGTTGCCAAATAAATGTAACACAAAACGCTGGCCACGGTTTGTCGCGTCGTCGACAGCAGATGGTGTTGCCTGGCGGCCAGCTCGCTCTCGTTTGCTCCGCGATCGCCGACAGACGGCGGTGATCACTGATGACAGGCCCCTCCGGTTATCCGGAGCGAGCGAGGCGTCGCCGGCGGCGCCGCCGCCTATCCTCGCCCCGCCGCGGTCGTCCGGACGCCGCTGCCAGCGCCAGCCGCGCCCGGCCGACCGGGCGCCCGTCGACGCCGACTGTGACACAGACCCGTCTCCGGCACCTGCCAGATGGCAGTCCAGCGGCGCCGCGGTCGGGGCGGGCCCCCAGACCCGCATACCGGGCGGCGGCGGGCGGTGCCGGCGCCGCACCGGAGCCGGGGCGCGCCCAGGCCGCCCCTCGTAACCCCGCGAAACGACCACTCCGCGCCGGCCGAAGCACCTCGCGTGTAGTCACCAGCCGCCGCGGCCGGCCGGCCGGGTGGGCTGGAGACGCGCGCCGGCGGGCCGAGACGGGGCTGAGCGGGCGGGGCGGGCGGGGCCGAGGGGCGGGGCGGGGCGGGGGGGGAGGTGATGGCTGCCCCTCCCCCGCCGGCGCCGCACCTGGCCGTCATCCCGCTCTGTTGATGCGCCGCCGGTAAACACATCGAGGGCCATGTGTACCCACGGAAGCGTCAGCGCCACTTACAGATCACCCAGCCGGCACCTTTGTTTAGCCGCAGAAATGTGAACTGAAGGACTACCACGAGAGATATTCAGGGAGCTCCACTCCCGCTTGGGACTATGTCTCTGAAACGCAGAGATAGCTATTGCAATGGTAAACCACAGAACCTGCTTGGATCGACCATTCACCCCCAGCTCCACCGCCTGCGAAAGTTTGCCACCCGCTGACGGGCGCAACAGGTGCGGACGGTTTATCTACCGTTCCACCCGCCCTGGGCGTTTGTTTTCGTCCACCTGACCTCGGCCGTCCGTCCGGGGGGCGACAGGCCGTCCCATCCCCTTCCCCGCATCTCCCCGCCACCCGATTACCTGGGCGTCTATCTCCAGTTCGCTGACGTCGGCGACCGTGCCGGCCGAGCGGTCGCGCGTGAGCGCGCGCACCTGACAGTCGGCCTGGTCGCTGACCTGGCGGTACAGACTGCGCGTGACGAGCGCAGCCGCGCTGCGCGCCCGCCCCAGCCGCGGCGGAGCATCGGTGGCGGCGGCGGGCGCGCGGCCGCCGCCGCGTCAGCGCCTTCCACGCGTCGGTGCTGTGGTCGGATCGGCGAAGCAGAAACTGGTCGATCTTCTTCGAGAGGAACGCCGACTGGGTGTAGGGCACGTCGGCGGCGGGCACGGCACGGAAGAGGGGCGCCAGGCCGCGGCCGGCCGGCCGGCGCCAGCACCACGCTCTCGGAGCGCGGCTCGGAGAGCGGTGAGCTCGCGCAGCGTCGAGCCGGCGCGCCGCGGCGAGCGCTCGCGGCCCGGCGCCGGGCCCG